GACTGGAAACTCACTGTGGGAGGAGCTCTGTGCTAAAGATACCAGCTGATGGTGGATGGTTTGGTGACTAACAGCAGAACATGTAACAAGACAGCTGTGGAGTTGTGCCAAGGTTATTCTGTCTGTTGGATCAAATCAGTCCGGTTTGTGTTCTTCACCTTCTTTCGTCTCCCTCCATTTTCACCTCCTGCTCGTCTTTAAAGAAACATGAAAACTGTAGTGCTCCGGCCGACGGCGGTGTTGTTACGGTTCCTGAGGAGGTTGTTCGTGGCCAAAGTTTCAGGTTTGATAAACTCCACAGAACTGTGGATCATCCCTCTCTTCTTCTCCACTCCCTCTGTCCGTCCCCACACACTGCAGACCTCACAAGGCAGGTCATTAAACTAAGTGCAAATGAAAAGAATAAATATCCTGAAACAGTAATGTTGTCAATCTGTTAACACATCAGAGCCCAACACATGGTCAACAGGAGGAGGCATCATGAGCCGACTGCATAGCTGGATTTAGTGTTTAACGTAAAGACTCTTCTTTAAATCAAACAAAGACACAAACAGAAGAAATGTCCTCAACTGTGTCACTGTTACTTCTGTCATTGCACGAGTCGTCCTTTAGACAGTTTCTAAGTTTCCTAAATAAAACTAACTTTGTTTAAAGTGCATAAAAAATCTGACATTTGACTTGACTGAATCCTCTCTGGTCACATGACTCATCACTTCCTCCATCTACCAGGCACAAACATCTTCCTCAACCTCGCCACCACCTGAAGGACATTCTCCAGTTCACCTGCACCTGGATACATCCACCAGCCATCAGACCTGTCCCAACAGGAACCAGGTTCTGGATTCCACAGAGGGTCAACGCCAAAACCAGTTGCACCTGTCACATCTTCTAGCCACAGGTGAGTCCGTGGAACCCAAAACTGAACCAGAACCAACATTGTTCACTCAACAACCAGCTGGTCTCTGAACTCCTGGACGATGTTACTCTGGTAGAACCATGAAACTGGTCACAACAATCTCAGCCAATCATCTAGCAGTAAGGAAATCCCCTTTCTACGGGGAACCCAAAGGTCTACCAGAGAGGGACTTCCTCCATGTGACCACCCACAGAGGTCATGACCTTTGTCACCCAGGTAGGGTCAAGCCCTCATTGGCCAACCACAGGCGAGTCAGTGGGAGTCTGAGAGTACAAGAACAACAACTTCCTTCATCTAACATTGACAGAGATTCTTGTGTAATCTGGTGACTCCAGTGGGTCAAGGCCACACCTACAAATCAATGACTGGTTACAACAGGAGCCAATCATCACCTCGATTCACTACCAGCCAAAATATACTGGACTCTGACATTATGGGCATTTAAGCAACGTAGGCATGGTGAAGGTTGAAAGTTTGAGGTCAACTGGTAAAAGGACAAGGCCGACGGCAACAATCCTTCAGGAAGTATCAAGCTCAATCATGAAAATGTAACCCCACCCCACCCCCCACCCCCACCCCGGTCTGATGGAGTCCACGTCTGTCACAAACTTGAGAACATGTTATCGTGAAGCATTTCCTGTGGTTTAGAGCTGGGGGGGGCTGAGGGCCACGACAGACTCTGACCTATTTCCCACAACTAAAGAGAAGGAAGACAAGAAGTAAAAAAAAATCCTTTATGAAAAGAAGAAAAGAAACTCTAGAAGCAGGTCATCCCATCAGGCTCGGAGGTCGTGGTCGCCGTGGCTCCACCGCCAACCAAAAAGACAGCGATGCTGGACTTTGACTGGTTGATTTTAGGGATGTTTCCTGCTCTATGGAGACCAGAAGAAAAGTGGATGTAGCTGCTGCTACTGCCACCGGTGTTGAAGTCGAAGTCTGGGTCGAGTGCTGTATCCGTGGAAACAACCCACGAGGCTGGACGCCATTTTTTCAGGGTGTACGGTGTCTTCACACGACGTTTTATTTTCTCTCCTGAAGCACTCAGACTGCCGCTCTCCGTCAGAGACACACGACCTGAGGAGGAGAGCAGGGACAGTGTTAGCAGATGTCTCACCTTTACAGCTTCAACAGGTAACAAACCATGTGACCTGATGGTCCACACTGTCCGGTCTGTGTGGTGGTGAAACATGTTGCCAGGAGCTTGATGGTGTGACTACCTGGTGCGTCACTGCAGCAGGTAATGACTGACAGCCACAGTGATAAGTAATAGGGATGGCATTTTCAGTAATTTCAATATTCAAGTACTCTCGTCACCTTAGTACTCAATTACTCGCAAATTATATATATATACACTATATTGCCAAAAGTATTGGCTCACCTGCCTTGACTTGCATATGAATTTAAGTGACATCCCATTCTTAATCCATAGGGTTTAATAAGACGTCGGTCCACCCTTTGCAGCTATAACAGCTTCAACTCTTCTGGGAAGGCTTTGCACAAGGTTTAGGAGTGTGTTTATGGGGATTTTTGACCATTCTTCCAGAAGCACATTTGTGAGGTCACACACTGATGTTGGACGAGAAGGCCTGGCTCTCAGTCTCCGCTCTAATTCATCCCAAAGGTGTTCTATCGGGTTGAGGTCAGGACTCTGTGCTGGCCAGTCAAGTTCATCCACACCAAACTCTCTCATCCATGTCTTCCCACAAAGTTGGGAGCATGGAATCTCTTGGTATGCTGAAGCATTCAGAGTTCCTTTCACTGGAACTAAGGGGCCAAGCCCAGCTCCTGAAAAACAACCGCACACCCCCCCCCCACCCCTTCAAACTTTACACTTGCACAATGCAGTCAGACAAGTACCGGTCTCCTGGCAACCACCAAACCCAGACTCGTCCATCAGATCACCAGATGGTGAAGCGCGATTCGTCACTCCAGAGAACGCGTCTCCACTGCTCTAGAGTCCAGTGGCGGCGTGCTTTACACCACTGCATCCGACTTGGCGCTCTATTTTATACACCTGTATCCATGGAAGTGATTGGAACACCTGATTTCAATTATTTGGATGGGTGAGTGAATACTTTTGGCAATATAGTGTATATATAAATATACAGTATATACACTGTTGCCCATAAAGTCGGAATAATTTTGTTTTCAGTTTAATTGTGGTTTCATTTTCATTGTGATATGTTTGGAAGAGATTGACTACTAAAGTTTTGAGAAGATATACACTTTATCTGTCAAGAATAAATCACATTGTCACATTCATTTCATGGAAAGAGGTAAAAAATATTTTATTCAAACTTTAGGAACAACAGTGTATATATACATATATATATATATATATGTATATATACTGAATTGAACTATTGTAGCCAATAATAACACGTGTGCACGCTACTCGAATAATGACGTCATCAACGAGCACTCAAGTACTCGTACCCATCCCTGCTTGCTAATTGGACAGTATTTGTACCGTCACCTCAAAACTGTCTGAAGACCATGGACCATGAACGGTAAATGACTGAATTTATATCAAAACCATCATTCACACACACACTCACACACACACTCACACACACACACTCACACACACACACACACACACACACACACACACACACACACACACACACACACACACACACACACACACACACACACACACACACACACACACACACACACACACACTGCCAGGTGCTTTTGGTCGTGTGTGGCTGCAGGATGTGAACAGTATATCAAGTATTTCTTAAAGACCTAATGTTGACTCACCTGAGGACGAGGACAGGTCCAGAGAGGAGGGACGCTGAGGCCTCCTGCCTTTGGTCTGTCCCACCTGATCCAAGGCCGACACTCGCAGAGTTGCAGGTTCTGGAGCTGAAGCTTCAGTTACAGTTGTGGTTTCTGGAGCTGGGTTCTCTGAGGCTGGAACCTCTGCAGGGGAACCTTCTACATTCCCAACTAGACCTTCTGGATCTGAGGCTGGACCTCCGGCTGCTGAAGGTTTCTGGGGAAGTATCTGTGAATCTGTGTGTCTGCAGTCTGGGACCTCAGCTGTGGAGTGGACCAGGTGAGCCTTTGGATTTTGGGCGTGTCCATCTGAACCTTGGCCTCTATCCTGTGCAGTGGGAGGGGCCTGGGGTGAGGTGTGTCCAGGTGTAGCTGGACGAGCTGCAGCGGGGGATTCACGGCTCTGCTGACTCTCCAGGTGTGGCTCAGGTTTAGGACTGAAGTCTTTGTCCTGATTGACCTCTGACCCCAACGCTATCCTGTTGTTGTTGTTGTTGGAGTTTGAGCGCCGCCCTGACAGGAGGTTTCCGGCTCGTGACTGATGGTGCAGAGGAGGAGGGGGCTCGCTCTGGGCAGGGGGCTGTTCTCTCCTCAGCAGTGGTTCGTGTTCATCAGGACTGAAGTTGAGGAGGTTCAGATGGCTGTCTCCTCCTCCGACCACCCCTCCCTCCAGTTTGTCCTCCTCCTCCAGCTGTGGTCCTGCCGGGTTAGTTCGACCTCCGCCCATCAGACCGTTTGTCACCAGGGTGGGAACCCCCGCATTGCAGCCGCTGGCGACTGAGTGGACCCGGTTCCCAATTGCGACACTGCCTCTTGTACTGGTGTTGTTGGTCACTGTGGTTACCAGGTGGGGCTCTACAGCTGCGGCGACTGTTACTGTGTTCATCTTAGCAACGCCTGTCTCCACCTGAAACACAGACAGTCTGAATCAGAGACGCAGCTGATCAAGATATTAAAGAGTAACTGGCTGAAATAACCTGTGAAACACGGTAAAGCTCCTCTCCGAGTTTTATTATAGTTTTTATTATTCAATATATTTATTATATATATATTAATGTAAACAATCTCCTCCTCCTCCACTCACACACTTTCAGCTCACTTCCTGTTTATCCAGAGAAAATATTAAATATTAACCACTAGTGTGTGAAGTCTTGAGTAATGGCTAAGGTCACACTGACCTTGACCTTTGACCTTTGACCCCCAAAATCTAACCAGTTCATCCTTGAGTCCAGGTGAACGTTTTTTCCATCAAAGTGTTAGTGAGATATCCAGTCCAGACAGACAACCTGAAAACAAAATGGCTGCCGCTCTGAACAAGTTACTCCTGACTTAGCAAATAAGAACAAAGACTCCTAGTGACGACTGTAGGGAGGGGCTTAATAACTCTGGGGAAAGGGTTAAAGGTCAGCGGGACAAGATGGAGAAGGCGAACACAACAAACAAACTGCTCCTACAAACAGAAACCAAAGAGGTACACAAGATCCTGAGAGTTCCCGCCTCCTGCCCACAATGAAGGTCACATGTGACAGCTTCAGTGATCGCCAGATAATCAATACGCTCTCTAGGAAACCCCCTGAGCTGACAACACCACGATCTCTCCGGCTCCTCCCACGACACCAGCCAACACACCAACAGGAAGTGACTGATGAGACCAGCTCATACCTGTCTGTGGTTCGACTTGAGCTTTCCCAGTTTGAGTCGAGAGGAGGAGGTGGTCTCCTTGTTCTTGGGGAGGAGGTGGAGGCTAGTGGGTCTCTGGGGCAGGTTCTGCTGTTTGGGGAGAGGGTGGATGGAGGAGGAGGGAGGGGCATCGACTCCACCGACACCCAGTTCATCCTGAGGAGTGGACACAGAGTTGTTCACCTGGTGGAGCCACAGGAACATTCAGGTTAGTGTGAGGGGAGCAACAGCATCAGTAACTCAGAGATCAGACGTCATACCTCAGACGTCTGTAGGTTTTGCTGGAACAGCTGGGTCACAGCTGGAGGCTCGGAGCTGAACTGTTTCTGTGAATGTTCCATCAGGTTCTCATCAGAACTTTCCCTCAGGTTCTTATCCACCTGGAGAGACGAGAGGACACCTCAATATAAACCACATCACATCTCAGTGTCACTGATGACATCATTGTTCTGTAGAAGCTCCTCCTCCTCCACTCTGACTAACCCTAATGTTAAGGTTAGATCAGATCTGAAGCAGGGGTGAAACTCTGTCATGATTAATGTGTGAAGTCTTGAGTAACGGCTAGAAACTGTTTTCTGAGTTCAGCATGACCTTGACCTTTGACCTTTGACCACCAGAATCTAATCAGTTAATCCTTGAGTCCTAGTGAATGTTGGTTGTTAATCTGTCATTGAAGTACATGAAGGATTTTTCACACGTCGGCTCTTTACATTTTAGCAACATCACCATGTGGATGATTCTGTTTTATGTAGAAATGACATATTTTGTGGTTGATGTCTCAGAGACGAGGCTTCTCATCGTGTTGATGGTTGTTGGAACATCTGGCCTAAGTCTGGTTTTAGTTTTTGTGTAAACTCCCTCTGTGCGTCTGTCTTGACCCCGCCCCCCCCCCCCCCCCGCCACCCGTCCCCCCACAGCTGGAGACAGATGTGAACAGAATGAGGACCTCTCTTGGGTCGAGCTTGGTGGCCTCCAGGTCTTCTTCTGTCAGCTGCAGGCAGGCGGGAACAGCGGGCACAGCGCCACCTGCAGGGCAGCAGGGGGAGGGGGGAGGGGGGAGGGGGAGGGGAGTTAACAGCTGGTCTGTCCTGGTGTTTGATCCCAACATCACAGTGACACTGACCTCTGTGTTCACACTCAGAGATGGAGCAGAGGGCGGAGGCAGGAGACGCACTGCTGTCTGAACTGGACAACCGAGCTTGAGTCTGACAGAGCGAGACAGAGAGAGAGAGAGCTGACTACATGAAATAAGGCATGTGTTTGGTTTGAGTGTTGACACCTGGTGAGCTTCACCTGAGCCTGCTGTCGCTCATAGTTGATGGAGTTCCTGTTCTTTTCAGCACCTTCTGCTGTACTCGTGGTCGTCCTGACGACAGATGCTGAGTGTCCGTCTCCCTGGAGATTTTTGACCACACCCACTTGCAAATCCTCGATGTAGGAGGAGGCGGAGCCAACCTGAGGAGACCAGCGGCCATGAGACAGATTCCTGAGAGAGAGAGAGAGAGAGAGAGAGAGAGGATCAAGGATGTGTAATCCTTACAGTGTGTGTACCTGTGGTTGTGTATTGAGGTGTGTGTACCTGTGGTTGTGTATTGAGGTGTGTGTACCTGTGGTTGTGTATTGAGGTGTGTGTACTCAGCAGTGTGAGTTCAGACAGTCTCTCCTCTGCACACTGAGCAGTGAGTCGAGCCTCAGCATCCTGATCCCAACAGTCCTCCATCGTCTCCTTCAGGGAACGCAATGCCTGACACACACACACACACACACACACACACACACACACACACACACACACACACACACACACACACACACACACACAAAAATCTAAACCTTGTGTTTTGTCACAATACATTTCACAGCAACATTAATACGACTGTAACCAGACAATAAACCCTGTGGGAGCCCTGAGTTCAGTCTGTCAGGTCGTGGCTCCATCACTGGACCCACAGGTGAGACCAGGAAGACTCACCAGGTTGTTCTCCTTCCAGGCTTCAGGGAATCTGGGTCTGTGTTTCTCTCTGGCGACGAGGATCTGCATTTCCTCGAAGCTTGGGTGATTCCCGAGCTCCGCCTGAAACGCCAGCTGGTACTCAGGTGCTGCTTCACCTGGACACACACACAAAGTGGAGGTCTGATACACAGTGTTTGTTACAGCAGCTGATCACAGACTCTTTAATGAGCTTAAAGGAAACTGACCCAGGAGACAGTTTCAGTTTCAGTTTCAGTACTATAAATAACTTATAAATATTATAGATAACTGCTGACAGAGGTGTGTGTGTATGTGTGTGCGTGTGTGTGTATATATATATATACGTTTGTAGCCTGTTCGTGTGCAGCACTGACTCACCTGGGAACAGGTCGGAGCACCTCCTGAAGCTCTCCCAGTAGAGCAGACCCAGAGCGTAAACATCCACCTGCTTCAGCGCTGACTCACAGTCCCTGAGGTTCAGAGCTCCGCCCAGAACCTCCGGAGCCATGTACCGCACCGTCCCCACCTGCACACACACACACACACACACACACACACACACACCTGTGACCCCCACCTTCTGTTTCTGTTTACACCTGCACCATCGTCACATCACCTGACCTCAGATATCGCCACAGTGTCGTCGTCTCCGGAGCGACAGGGCTGGTTTCCTGTCAGCCTCATGGACAGACCGAAATCGGCGAGGACGCAGGACAGGTCGGCTCGGACCAGGACGTTCCTGCTGGTCACGTCTCTGTGGGCCACAGCTGGTTTGTACTGGTCTGAGGGGGAACAGAGGAGACTCGTGTTTTAACACCTGGTTTCTTCCTGCTCACAGTTCAGCGGATAATAGACAAATCAAATCAGACAGAGACAAAAGATGAAACGTCTTCTGTCAGAAAGACGATGTCTCTGAGGACAGGAAGGAAAACTGGTTAACAGGTTGTTTACTGTAAAGTTCAGAGACGTGAGCGGCGGGTTTGTGAGGAGGAGAAGAGTCGACTCAGGGTTTCAGTCTGAGGGACTCAGACAGTTCCAGGTCACTTCCTGTTTATCCAGAGTCATAGAAAATATTAAATATTAATCTCTCGCTGTGTGAACCCTAACCCTGACCTTGACCTTTGACCTTTGATCATCAAAATCTGATCAGCTCGTGTTTGATTCCAGGTGAATGTTTGTGTCAAATCTGGAGAAGTTAAACGAAGGTGTTTCTGAGATATCGATCCATGAGAATGAGACGGACGACCTGAAAACAAAATGGCCGCCACTCTGACTGTCGTCAGGGGAGGAACAAACTCAGATTTTACTCGTTATGAATCTTGTTGTTTTCTTTATTCTAGCAGGTGATTGACTGTATGAGAGTGAGGATGTTACAAACAAACAAACAAAATCAGATGTTTATTTATTAAACAGAGAGAAATAATCTCCCACTTTTCTAATAAAAACTAAAACAATCCTTTGTTTCCATGTGAAAATAATATTTATCTTTTCTTAAAAACTTTCCTCGTGAATATCAGATATTTATCACCTTCTTTGTTTTCTGACATCATCCAGAATTTTCCTGTTTTCCTCCTGTAGTCACAAGCTGCTGGTGTTTCACAGAGACGTTACAGATGGATCCTGTAATTGATTCTTTCTTTATCATTTATTTTCATCCAACTGAACACGTTTATTACGTCATCTCATAAACAATATCTTTATTAGAACTTTTCTATTCTACTTTCCGTTCTAACGTCTAAACACTGAGCGGCCGATAACTGATCAGCTGATCGACAGATTCAATTATTGATCAGCTGATCTTCACCGTCACTGCAGCACAGCCTGTTCACTGTAAACTGACACACACACACACTCAGGTCTGAGTGTGTGTGTGTGTTGAGAGCTTTAGTGCTGCTATAAAAAGAAACATCAGAGAAACACATATTGATGTATATTCATGTACATTACAGTGTATGTGTAGAATATACCATGTGTTCATATTTAAAAACTAAAGTCTGATGATAGTAATTATTATTTCTTATTGTCAATAATCCCATAAAAAAACAGCCTGACCTGTCTTGCTGCCACTAACACAGCACCACATGTGGATTAATCCGCCGCTGAAAATAGTCCCCAACAAAAGGTTGAGGTGAACACACAGTGAGCAGCAGGCTGATGAGTGATGAGGTTTACCTCCTCTGTACAGCTCCGTGTGGAGGAAGGCCAGTCCTCTGGTCACACCATGAGTCATCCTGCAGCACGTCAACCAGTCCACGGTGTGGACAGACAGGTACCGAGACAGACAGCCCTGAGGGGGGGGGGGCATCAATTCATTCATTCATATACACATATATACAGTCAAATGCTTAATGTGTGTGTGTGTATGTGTGTGTGTGTATGTGTGTGTGTGTGTGTGTGTGTGTGTGTGTGTGTGTGTGTGTGCGAGCAGACAGTTAAGCTGGTAATTACTGTCTGATCACTGCAGAGGAATGCAGTAAACCAACCAGACATTACAAAAACAAACAATGTGTGTCTGTTACACACACATTGTTTCTCTCACACACACACATACACACACACATACACACACACACACACACATACACACACACACACACACACACACACACACACACACACACACACACACACACACACACACATTGCTTATAAACAGGAAGCTGAAATTGTTTATGTACAAGTTTGTGAATAAGAGATAGTGATAATATGGGTTTGATTTTAAGTGTGTGAGTAACTCTGTGTGT